AGAGAGAGAGAGAGAGAGAGAGAGAGAGAGAGAGAGAGAGAGAGAGAGAGAGAGAGAGAGAGACCTGTCCTCTGCATGCAGCCCACCTGTAGGTTATGCAGAGCTCTGCTGCCCACGACCTGGCAGAGTTTCACTCATTGTCCATGCTCTACGTGAGTTTATGTCCTGTGTCTGCACGTTGTAAAAGATGGGCACCTGTGCAAGAGTGCAAAAATATGATGGCAATGATTCATCATATCTCGGTCAGATGAAGAATTTTGATAGAACTGACTGAATGTCATGCCGATCTACAGAGGCATACAATATGAGCTGAGCGTCGTGTGGGGATAAATGGTCTGCATACAAGGCCAACCCAGAGAAGCACTTGTTGTTAACACTGAGTAACAAAACCCAATCCATCCGGTGGATGTCAATCAGTCACCAAAAAATCCCAGCCACCACTGTTCTTTGTGCCTCCTTCCGTGATTCCTGGCCTCCTGTATGGCACATAAGCGGGCCCTGTGTGTTTGCCTCATTCATGGTCATTCCTGCTCACCACCCAGTCATGCTGTGAGACTGTGTGCTGTGGCGGCTAACCCTGGAGTCCTGCACTTTCATATTCGCTAGCCTATTTCCGACCTATTAGGTAAAGTCCATGAGCTCTTTCCTGCAACCTGTTATTCCCATGCAGAATATGTAAACCATCAGAGCTCCAGAATAAGTCCAGGATCATTCACTGAGGTGCAATCCTTTCTCCTGCCATCTTGACAGCTATTAAATGAGAAGAAGGCAGCTAGCTGCAGCTGGAATATATGCCTGGTACACCCCATCAAGCCCATACTGCTGCATAGGTGGTTTCCTCCTATGATTGCCAATGCCTACTTTATCCAGACAGTTGTACCATATAGAAACTTACCAGACAGCCAGTAAAACTGGCAAGCAAACCATGTAGAAACTTGCCAGCCAGCCAGTAAAACTGACAAGCAACGTCATACACCTTCACTACAGTTACAAAGAATACATCACTGAGCAACGTTGATTGTAAGGGAGTTTAATTGCCAAGCACCCTTTGACAATTCGGGGAGAGCCATTCTGGTCACAGACTCGGTCACTCACCTGAGTCACCCGCTCAGAACTGACCTCGTTGGAGATCTCATGAGTATCCTGGTAAATGACTCTGTACTTAACTCCGCCACCAACCCGGCGCTTAACCACTGTTACTACGCCAGTCCAGTCACTAACCCTGGAAGTCACCTGGTCACTTCCCAGGTTGTGTCCCTAACTACCATCAGTCTGTCCAGTCCAGTCAGCAGCCCAAAGACCCAAGCACGTCAGTGAACATTCTGGACGCATCAGAGACCGAAAGGCGGCCACCAGGTAGCGAGTACTGGTCCAGAAAGTCCAATGACGAGAAACTGAATCCTCGGGCTTAAACCACCAGTACATCCGAAAAAGGAATGAGTCCCTCCTAAACAATAGGAGGCCATGAACCGCCGATTCATTTTATCAACGGTCCATGGCCTCCAAATTTTTAGGAGACGCTCAATCTGCTTTTTCAGATGTACTGGTGGTGTAACCACTAACATGGTGACTAACATGGTCACTAATATCATCAACACAGTCGTTTAGCCACTCCTCCACCTGGTCGCTAATAGCTGTCTGTGGACTATCAGCAAAAGGAGTGGGGTTCGCATTCAGTCTCATGATCTCAACAATATAATTTATTTTCTCATCATCCAAGGGCTTTGTCACACAACCATTCACCCCGCTGGCAATCGCTTGGATCTTTGAGTCCTCCCTCATATCTCCAGTGAGAGCAACGATGGGGACATGAGAATTATGGGCTTGTCCTTCTGTAATAGCTTGTTCTAATCCATGTTGTCGTATTCTCCGTGCTGTTTCGAACCCCTCAATCTCTGGCATCTGGATTCAACATTCAATACAACAAATGAAATGCTGTCAAATCCTCAAATCATTAGACTAACTATAAGGATAAATCATTAGCCTAGCTAAAAGGATAAATCATTAGCCTAGCTAAAAGGATAAATCATTAGCCTAGCTAAAAGGATAAACCATTAGCCAAGCTAAAAGAATAAATAGGATAAATCATTAGCCTAGCTAAAAGGATAAATCAGTCATTGAAAGATTGATGTTAGCCGTAAACGTAAA